GACACTGAGTGTAAGAAAACTTATTAGAAAACTTCCTTTGTTTTTTTTTTTTTTTTTTTTGGCTCAAAACGGTTTCAAAATCCGTTTTTTTTAAGTTCATCATAGCAAGGCCACTGGCTCTGATACTCAACTCTAAAGCAAACAGCTGTGCTTATTATTTCATGCCGTATTTTGACATTCTCCCTGGATAAATTCTTATTCCTCCACAAACTTGCATTCCACACTGATCCCAATACAGCTGAACGCTATGAGACGGGGGGCTGTTAATGAACCAGCTAAAAAGCTCAAACTGTTTTCCTGGAAAAGTGCTCAAACACAGGAAATCAAAATTATGTCCCGGCCCAATAGTAAGGATGTGAAAAGCCCCTGAACTATGTCTTTTCCTGGCACGGATGTCCATGGCTTTTTGAATCTCATTCAAAAGTACTGGCAATGACGGGACTACTAGATAGAAAGCACAGGCCCCTTGAGAACAGACCAATAGTAAGGATGTGAAAAGCCCCTTAACTATGTATTTTTCTGGCATGGATGTCTATGGCTTTTTGAATCTCATTTAAATGTACTGGCAATGACGGGACTACTAGATAGAAAGCACAGGCCCCTTGAGAACAGACAGTTTGTTACTGTAGTAACAGTCAGGAGGGGTCTTGTGCTGGGACTAGCAGTCTACAGTGCATGTTTGCTCCCTACGTCACCGGACAAGCATCCATGCTCTGCGAGCACTGTCAGTCTTTGCTTGGTTTTAGTTTAATTTCCCTTTGAGAGAGAATTCCTGAGGAAATTCATGTATCATGAATACAGTCATAGCAGATTGGAGCCAGATGGCCATCTGAGTAGTACAAAGTTTTAGCCTTTGGTCTTTAAAGAAATAGTTCACCCAAAATGGAAAATCCTGTTGTCATTTACTAACCGTATTAAATATAAAAAAATTAGATATTACATTACGGTTTAAAAGTTTGGGGTCAGAAAGATTTTTTAAAAATAAATTAATACTATTAAATGGATGTAAAGTAACAGTAAAGGCTTTTAGATTGTTACAAAATTCTATATTTCAAATAAATGCTGTTTAACTTTCCATTCATCAAAGAATCTTGAAAAAAAAAAAAATGTATCACAGTTTCAACAGAGTTAAGAAGCATCTGTTTTCAACATTGATCATAAGACATGTTTTATGAGCAGCAAATGATTTCTGAAGGATCATGTGACACTGAAGACTGGAGTAATGATGCTGTGCATCATAATGAATAAATTACATTTTAAAATATATTAAAATGTCAAAATAATGTCTTACAAAATTACAGTTTTTACTGTAAGAAAAAAGTAAATTAATAAACAAAAATAGGGGGGGAAAGAAAATTAAATCAACAAAATTTGACATTATTACTGTTCATTCTGCTTACTGAAGACTAGTCATAAAATATCATTTATTTTTATATAATTGTCATTGGGTCTTTTTCATGAGGAAGTTAATAATGACATAATATACATTTTTATGTGAGGCAACCCTTTAAAACATTACGTAGCAAAGCATAACAGCAATCCAGTATTTGTGTTTGTCATTTTTGGGAAAAGTGCTGTAACTGTTAGTTATTCTGTCAAGAACACACACTTCGCACCAGGGCTGTGGGTCACTGGGCCTTTAAGAACAGACATGAGGAATAAGGCCAAAGTCGCAGTTGAGCAATTCTCGCATAGACTTTGTAATTCCTCTAATCAGCTCTTGTGAGTGTTTCAGAGGGCAATGAATAAACAAAAAGAGCTCTGCTCTCGAGTTCACAGTATCAGAGGTTTGAAACGATTTGCACTAAAAGGGGCATTTCGGGGCGTTTCAAGATTAGGGAACGTGTGGTTGTTGGTTTAACCTCAAGCCAGTGCAATAACTAAATAAGCCTCAGAAAGCAGAACAAAACAAAAGGTTCTGAACAGAACTGACTTGAGGTCACAAGCATCCAATTTTATCAATTCAAAAACAAACACTGCTAAAAAAAAAAGAGAGAAAAGAATCAAGGCTAATTGAAATCTACTGATATTCGACATCAAGCCCCAAGCAGATGTGTGCATGATCTTTTTGTGTGGCTGGTTTGTATTGTGACAAAGCCTGGCGTGAAGGATGAGAAGGATCTCATGACTCTCTGCTCTGATTTTTACATGAACATTTATTTTTTTCTCCAGAGCCTTCTGTTTTGCAGGGGAGGAAGGAGTTTCTTTGGAAGGAAGGAGAGTTTTCCTCCCTTCGATACAGGCACAGGCAGCGATATCGCCGCAGGTCGACCATTAAAAGATCTGTCAAAACATGTCAACTCTCAGCCTATCAGCCCGCTTATGGGGGGGAAGGGAGCGGAGATATACAGAATGAGGATGAAAGAGAAAGAACACCTACTCAGCATTGCATGTTTGGCTGTCACAACTGACTTTATCTGCTGGCCGAGAGCTAAAGATGTCACCGTCGTCTGCACTGTCAGCAGAATCTGCTAATGAAATCAAAATAATTAGAGTTTGGAAGACCTTGAGTTTGCATTTATTAATGTTAGAACTCTATACTAGGAAGGACCAGGTCATAAAAATAAATACAAAGAATGTGTCAATGCGTATCTGTGCACATATACAACCAAAAGCAAAACAAGGCGAAAAAGGAGGAACCACCCAAAATAACACCATTGTTCATCTAATCAGACAAACTTCCCTTTAAGGCAGAGGAACCATGGGAACAGGAGTCATGGCAATAGAAGCCATGGCAACGGCCCTATCAGCCCGCTTATGGGGGGGAAGGGAGCGGAGATATACAGAATGAGGATGAAAGAGAAAGAACACCTACTCAGCATTGCATGTTTGGCTGTCACAACTGACTTTATCTGCTGGCCGAGAGCTAAAGATGTCACCGTCGTCTGCACTGTCAGCAGAATCTGCTAATGAAATCAAAATAATTAGAGTTTGGAAGACCTTGAGTTTGCATTTATTAATGTTAGAACTCTATAAAAGCTGTACTAGGAAGGACCAGGTCATAAAAATAAATACAAAGAATGTGTCAATGCATATCTGTGCACATATACAACCAAAAGCAAAACAAGGCAAAAAAGGAGGAACCACCCAAAATAACACCATTGTTCATCTAATCAGACAAACTTCCCTTTAAGGCAGAGGAACCATGGGAACAGGAGTCATGGCAATAGAAGCCATGGCAACGGCCAGTCAGGGTCAAGAAGCGTTTGTCCAAGACTGCTGTCTTATCACACGAGCAGCGAGAGGAAAAATACGTCTGTCAATCAATAGCCGACTGATGTTGCAGTTTTCTAACTGGATGAAAACTGAGGTAATGTTCTACAAAGTCCAATCCGTCTGCTTTGTGTCTGTCCACCACATGTTCCTGCAATGTTTAACCATGGCTTGTACCTGAAAGAAATTATAGCGCAGTTGTGGTGTTAGGAATAGCTATGGTGGATGATAAATATTAAATTCTGTATACCTCATGGTAGTCACTATAGTCACCGAATGACCGTCGAAATAACCTTGATGTTCAAATGCATCATCACACGTCGTTATCTTCAGATAATGGACGGCATTGAGAGTTTAACTGACATAGAAAACATTAGTCACTTTACATTTGTTTACTGGCCTTTAAATAGGGCAATAACAGCCACTGCATTCTGCGGCCAAAGGAAGTTCTTAACAAGTAGAAGGTGTGGCCTGGGAAAGGTTGTAGATGAACCCCGTCCTCACTCTGATTGGCTGAAGCCCTGGATCTGTTCCTTGGTTTAAAACACTTTCTGGGTTTTCATTCCCTAGAAAACATAAAAGCATAAAAATTAATTTTGATATTTTTTAGTGGGGTTTAAACCATTAAAACATCTAAGAGACTAAAACTGTGAAGAGACTTCAATATAGAAAAATAGCTATTCTTTAAACAAAAAAGGTTGTGTGGAGTGTGCAGACTTTTTTCAAGTATTTTACTTTTTGGGAAACTTTCTGTGGAACATAAATGTTCATTTGAGAATTTTTTGTTGTTGTTGTTGTTGTTTTTTGTTGTTGTTTTTTTATAGGTCACATCACAGGAGTGTGAACAGCCTGTCAGACATCATAGCACGTCAGCTGTCTTAACCGCGGCTTGTGTACTGCATCATCACTGTGTCTGTCACGTGACTCTGTTGCCCTTTCGGGCTTGAACTGATGGTAAAACTAACGACATTATTAACTGTCTTGATATTTACTTTGAAAGCTGGATTATGGTAAGGGGCGTTGCATTTCCGACGCGTGCTTGTGGTGTTCGGCCAATCACAATGCACTGGTTCAGCTGGCCAATCAGAGCAGACTGCGCTTGAGACCCCTCAAAGGAGGGGGCTTTGTTGAAAACTACGTGTTTGAGAAAGGCGGGGCATAGAGGACCTACAATAATGTACAGTATTTGAAAAAGAATGTGTTTTTTGAACATTAAAGCATGTCAACATATTCTGTTACATCAAATACACAAAATAATGATCTTTAAAATAGCATCATATGACCCCTTTAAATCATTTTATTGGTTAAATAAAAGCCACTGTGATGCAATTAACACGCAACAACCTATTTTGAAAAAAAAAATTAATAAATATATATATATATATAGGGTACAATGGCTAAAGGCACACCCTAAGAAAAATGTGCTTTTCACTGTGCCCAAAGTGTATGATTGCAGAAAAAATATATACCTTTGTATTGAACATTTATGGAGAAAGTGATTTTGTGTGAAAGTAAATCATACAAGTCGTTTATTTTGTTTAAAAATCTTATAAATGTATGAGGTGGCATGCTCATCAGCATTGGGCAAAAGGCACACAGTATTGATACAAATACTTTAGCTAAAATAATGTTTTGTTTGATAATGTCTAAGT